AGTAGGCTCCATTTCGGTTTACCCTTTGGTAAGGTTCAGGTCTGGACCCTGAAAATGCTCCATGAATGCTACGTGACTTCTGAGTGCTGCATCTACAGAGAACCCCACAGAAACCCGAGGCACTGCTTGTACCCCCTTGAGCTGCCTATTGCTGCACTTGAAATAAAGCCAGCCCTTCTCTAGGCTGTCTGTCCCTCATGACCATTTCTTCCACAACAGTTTATTTTCAATGGGATTGAGGTTCCTGTACCTCTATGACCATACCGCCTCGTATACACCCCATCTCGTGTGATGTTTCCACTCAACCTTCTTAAATACAATTGCCAACAAACAAGCAAACAAACAAATAAAATATAACAAACCTCAGAGTGGCAAACTATAGACTATTACACAACCTGGATTTAAGTCCTGATTCTATTACCAGCGGGTGACTTCAGTGGGGGTAATTTGCCTCTCTGAGCCTTGCTTTTATCATCTATTAAGGAAAACATACAAGTACCTGTGCTTTGGAGAATGTTTGACAATCAAGATGTGAAAATTGATACCAAGGTCTCAAGCAGCCTCAGGGTCTCTTTTAGGAGAACAATGCATGAGTTTCTGAGACAAACCACCTCCATCTATGAGCCTTGGGGAGACAGAGTGCGGCTGTTCTCTAAGTCATGGATTCAGGGAGGAACTGCAAGCTTGCTGTGTTTAGTCAGGATTCGCTGGAGGAACAGAATCAATAAAAATGTATGTATAACTGCACAAGTGGATTTAATGGATAAGATTACAGGACTAAAGCAGGAGACTCCATGGTGGGCATCTGTGTTTCGAGAGCCAGATGATCCAGGAGCTGCTTGGCCCAAGAACATGGTACCTGCGCACCAGAAGGATCAAGCATGCAGAACCAGTTCAAGGCCCAAGGCCTGGAAGCTCACCAGAGATTCACTGGTGCAAATCTGCATTAAATATTTGAAGAAACGGAAGACTGATTTCTAAAGGTAGCCGCGGCAAAGGGTGTGACCTTTCAGGAAAATGGAGCTCTTCAATACAGGGACACTTCCTTCTTCTTTCCCTTTTTATTGCATCCAGGCTGCAAGTCTATTGGTTGATGCTGCCTACATCTGGGGTGGATCTTCCCCCACAGTTTGCTGACCTACATGTCAGTCATCCATGGACACACCCAGAACTGTGCTCCATTAGTGTAGGACTTTCTCAGTTCATTCAAGATGGGAGATCACCATTCATGGTCACAGCCACCTATGCTTGTCACACAGTCAATGCTATGTGTAGAAATGAGCTCCTGACACCAATCCACAGCCACCCTCAATGGCCCCTCATATGTCCCCAGAGAACTTCAAGGCTAGCATGTCCAAGTTAGAACCCACAAACTTCCACGGTTCCTCTCTGCTCAAGGATGCTGCCCACCTCTGCTGGAAGCCTGAGCCCATACACGGTGCTCTGAATCAAGGGACCGTCAAGTTTTTCTGACTCTATTTTCTATGAAAACCAGAGCCAGCATGGCTTTTCCACTTCCTCTGCCAAGCAGGGGTCAGTGCACCTCTCACTTCTGTAGGTCTTCTCATTTCTAGACTCTAGCCATAAGGAAGGCCCTCCCTTCCCTGGATCACAGCTATGGAAATAGACATCCAATCAACAAAGGCAGCCACACCCCATTGTGCTCAGTTCCTCGTGTGGCCCCTGCTCTGATCATGGTGTGCAGCATCAAAGCACCACTGTCCATCCTCTACCCCCAACATCCTTGGGTCCAGCTGTAGAACCTCCCTCGGCTCCCACTGTGCCAGTCATTGTGCCTGGCATCCCCCTCCTGATATTACCATGTATGAGAGTCCTCTGACATCCACTTCCTGTGACCTCTGCTCCTCGATGTTTAGGATAGACCCCCTTCCTGGAGCCCTGTAAGGCTCCATCTGCATATGCAGATGAGGGAGGGCTTTCTGAGTGGATTGAATTATTGTGGCGAGCGCTTGCAGACTCTGAAAGCTCTGACATCACAGCTTCAGAATGAAGAGCCACAGCTTCTACGGGAAGCACTTTAGGTGAGAAATGCCCACAGCAACACAAAAAAAGTAGGCTCACCCATCACTGCCACTCAGCTAATCTAGAGCGCACAGAAGTCAGGGCAGGGAGATTGGTGGTCAAAGCCTGTAGTGATTTCAAAGACAGGAGAATTTCCAAGCACAAGGATATCACTGGAACTGTTGGAGGCCTTTCCATGTGAATCAGACTGCCTGGAGATGATATATTTGGTATTAAGTGATGCTTTGCCTTGGCCGCAAGGATGAATTCTAACTCACTGTAAATAGAACAGAGAGAGGGTTGGTGCTACATTATTTATTGCATGTTCCATTTGCCCCCAAGCAGTGATGTTTTTTAGGTTCCACAAAGGTAGCTGTGTATATTGTCATTACATAAAGGAAACTCTGAGCATTTACCTTATGAAATATAAATTAGCATTCATTAGCCACTGAAGGGCATGCTGGGTGATTCCACCACAGCTGTGGAGGAAACTAAACATAGATGCAGGATCTTCTCTCCACAAGGAGTTCTAGATTGGTCCCTGAAGTGCAACACAGCCAGTTTTTCCAATCGTGTAGAATATGCAAACTGTAAACTTGTTTCTCTTTTGTTGGTGAGGCCAGTGCAGGTTTGCAATTCTGTACAGAGAGACTTGGCCCCCAGAAGATGGCTTTGAGGTGAAGCTGAAATAAGAAAAAGTCTTTTGTGAAGCTTCCTTGCATAGATGACAGAGCAGGGGAGCTCTGCCCCTGACTCTGTCACTACGGTTCAGGGAGACCTTGGCAGAGGGGCGCTGTCCTCTGGAGATGTAGGTATTTCCCAGGAAGGCTTCTCTTACCCTTGAGCTTCTATTGTTTTTCTTGCTTCCACTTCCAGTGGCCCTCTCCTTGTAAAACATGCATGGGTCCCTGCTGTGAGTGGACATGGTGTGCCCAGGGGATGGACCCGTGGCCTCTCCTCTGCAGCTAGGTTGCGCTGCCCGGGCAGGCGCCTAACAGTCTTTCTCTATGAAATCCGGCTCTACCCCCACTCAACACAGCTTCCCCTACATCCACAAGCCCTTCCAGAATCTCTGCATGCCCTTCCAGAATCTCTGATTGCCTCTCAGCTCCATCCCAAACACCTGCATTCCGAGCTCTCCAGGGTTCTCAGCGTGTCCAGATCCTGGGGGATTCCAGCATCCACCTCCCACACTGGACCACAGTGGACCTATCCTGGGCAAGCTCAGGGTAAGTTTTTGTTTGTTTTGCTTTTGCACCACTGGCAGTTGACTGAACCCAAGAACATTTTGCACTGAGTTACACACATCTCCAGCTTTTTCTGTTTTAATTCCGAGGCAGGATCTCACTAAGTCACTACCTTGTGGCTTGAATTTAAGATCCTCTTGCCTCAATCTCCCAGAGTGCTAGGATAACAGATATGCACCAATACACCTGGCTACTTTAGTCTTCATTATGTCCCCTGTGCTCGGTACCACAACAGCTTGGGTGTATGTATTAATGCAAAGAATTACCTGCCTCCAAGTAATTCACACTTGACAGGGGTGTCCGCAGTCTGAGTTCATTACTTGTTCACCACACAGCCCTGCAGGGGGCAGCTCAGGTCCCTCTGCTGTTTCCATCCTCTGGCTAAGGGGTGCCCTGGCATCAGCCGGAAGTAGAGAGACGACACCCACCTCATCCACAATGCTTGGGCCACACTGGGGCACACAGCTACCTGTCAGCGTGGTAAGGCGTCCCTGTTACATCTGTGTGCTGCAGGTCTCTGTTATATTGCCCTTGGCGTCTGCAGGGACTGTGACACATATGGGCATGGAAACTATACAAACTTTAAACACAAGGGAGGGAAAATAATACAAACTTTAAATACAAGGAAGCCAGATGTGGTGATGTGCACCTGCCATCACGGCAGTCTTCAAATATGAGGCAGGAGAATCACAAGCTCAAGCCCAGCCCGGGCAACTTAGTGATGCAACCAGACCTTGACTCAAAATTTAAAGTTCAAAAGGTGAGGTGGGGCATGGTGATGGTGGGGGCTGGGAATGGAGCTCAGTGCAGAGTTCAGGGGTTCAATCCCCAGTAGCAGGAAACAAACCCAAAGCATAGGGATTGGCTGGGAGGGGCCAGCAGAAACCCAGAGCACTTGACACAGGCACCTTGGAAATGACAGGTGCAGAGAGGGACAAAGACATCACCTGATGGGTGCAGGACTTGCAAGGTGGCAGTGGAGCCGGGGCTTCACTCTCTGGCTGTGGGTCAGACTTGACCCTGCTCCTCTCCGCATGGAGCCCTTGAGGCAGCTCTGAGCATTGCAGCAGAGTGATGGGGGCAGAGACACCTTACAGAGCTGTACTCCTGGGAGCCACTCAGCTGGCTTTCCCTCCCTGGCACATTTCCTTTCTTAATCGCCTCCCAGTGGGGACAGGTGTGGGAGGGAAACCCAGGTGCTGTACCTGCTCAGCAGACGCTGTGCTAAATGTACACATGCCCAGGCAACAAGATGCAGCTTTATTCCTGGAAGCAAAGCAGCTGCTCCTGGGGACTGACATGGAATGAGGATACAAAGGCCCCCAGAGGCCCTGGCCCTTGTGTGGTAAAGAACAAACCAAAACACAGGTCCCCAGTCAGCTGCAGGATGTGGGTGGGGTAGAAAAATGCAGTGTGTAGTTAAAAAGAAAGATTTGTTACAGTAAAATATGCATCACCACGAATCCTCCTCAAAATCCTCCTCTCTTTGAGCACATTCTTCCCATCAATGTTGCTGCTTTCTACAGCAGCTCTGGAGTCTCCTTCCTGAGGGTCTTCGCGTGGTGTGACCAAAAATACAGTGAATGCTGCTGCCAAGAGCCACCCAATAGAAGGGCAGGCTGGTAAAAATCTGAGGCCGTGTCCTCATCCGCCTTAGTCACCAGACCTGACACGACGTGATTTCTGGCTCTTCTCCAAGGTCACAATGACTGTGAGAGGGAAACTTTTGAATCCATTCAGGACATGGAAGCAGCCAGTACAGCACAGATAAAGACCCCCAGGAAAGAGGACTCCAGAGCTGCTGCAGGCGGTGGCAAGGACGAGGGGAAAAATGTGTTCGTCGTGAGGGAAGCATTGTGAGGGGATTCATGGAAATGTGTCTTCTACTGTAATAACTGTTTTTTTTTTTTTAACTTAAACACTCACTGTATATTTTATCAGCTCTTGCATGCAGGGGAATCCACCTGGCTTTGGAGAATGAGGATACATCTGAGAAGATGCCACATTCGAGGAATCAAAGGATCCACCTAAGGGTTGAAGGAAAGAGGGTCAGAGATGCCCAGGTATGGCCTGAGGGGCAGGAGAGAAGAGTCAGAGGCCTTGGTAAGAAGACAACATTGGAGTGAAGGGTCAGCCCAGCAGTGTCACAGGATGCTGCTGTCTCCAGGGCTGTCCAGCAGGAGGGTCCTAAGAACAGATGGGGCCTGACAGGACCAGTCACAGGGACAGAGAGGAAGAGAGTGGTTGGACTGGGAGCCACATCACAGGAGGCATCTGTCAGAGGAACTTGAAGCCCCTTACCTTTCACCCCAGGCCTCCTGGATAGGGGTTCCTTTGGCCCTCAAGTTAAGAAAGGACAGTGATAGGGAAGAGTTGCGGTTCACCACTAGGAGAACTCATTCCAGAATCCTGCACTGTAGCCAGCTCACAATCACTGGTCTATAATGTGGTCAGGGGACCACAGTCAGCAAAGTTCATGCTGCATTTCAAAATAGCCCGAGGAGGGGATTTCAAATGCTTCAGCACAAAGGAATGATGAAAGTTTGAGGTGATGGGTATATTAACTGCCGATTCTACCATCACTCACTGCACATACGTATCCACCTATCATACAGACTAGGGAACACATGTTTACCTCTGTAATAATCATGCACGATTGTTATGTATTGAGTAAAAATGAATACAAATAATTAATAACCAAAGCTTACAATGTTCCAGGCCCAATAGACAGCATCGGTTATTTATAAATGCAAGGTGCATTTCAGGTGAGAAAGTGAAATTTGGGGCAAGAAAACCTTTGCCACCATTGCACATTTAGTCCCTGGCAGACCCAGGGCACCGGGCACCTGTGGCCGCGTGCAGGGCAAAGTGGGTATGGAGGAGGAGGTTCCAGTCTCAGGAGCTGCAGGCTGGTTCCAGGGAAGTGGCTGGGGCAGATGCGGAACAGGCACATGAGAAGGCCAAGCGGTCCCTCTGCCTAAGGCAGCTCCCTCCTGCTCAGCTCCTGCTTCCCAGCAGCAGAAGCATTTCTCAGGGAGCTGCTCTTGAGGCGCTGCAGTAATTGTGTGGAGGAAAACCTGGGGTCAAATACTAACAAGAGGAAAGTCAGGCTGCAGACTTCTGAGCATGGAGGGAAAGACAAGGGTGGAAGGACAGAGAAGCAGAGAAAAAAAGGAGGAAAGGGGGCGGAGCTGAGCTCTCCAATTCAGAATCATGTTTGTTCCCCCTCTGAACTGCAGGAGTCTCTCCTCTCCTCTCCCCTCCTCTGTCTTGATCAGAGAGAGTGTTACCAGGCTTCATGCCTTCTCCATCAAGTAAGAGGTGGTGATTTGAAAAATACAGTGAACATTTAAATTCTTAAAAATTTATTAGAGTAAAAGATACATTGCAGTGACTCTCCCTGAAAATCTTTCCCTGGCTTCCAGCATACCTGCTCGTTCCCACTGCTCTCTCTGGAGTCCTCTTTCCTGAGGGCCTTTAGCTGCGGTGTCCCGGTTGCCTCAAGGTCCAGACTGGATTCAAAATGTTTCCCTTTTGCAGTCATCTTGACTTGGCGGAAGAGCCAGGAGTCACACGGTGCCAGATCTTATGATAAGGTAGAAGAGGACCTAGCATCATATTTTTACTTCACAGAAATTACCAAAACATTTGATCGGCAAAGTGAGATTTAAAAAAAAACACAGTAGATATTTAAATTATTGAAAGTCACAGTCAAAGTCACATTGCCAATGATGTCCCTCAGCAGATACCCTCTTGCTTGGAACACACTTCTTCCTTTGTTCTTGGCAATGTGACTTCGCCCTTAGTCTTTTCAGAGTGTAAACATGCTCTAGATACTGTATTTCCATTGCCCTGTGCAAGTCATAAGAACCTGGCACGCTTTGCAGATCCTGGATCTGCCCTCGCCTCACCTCTAATCCAGTCTGCACTGCTCAAAGCTGCAGGTCTCCAGGCTCCGTCTCTGCTGATTTTGGGCTCCAGTTGATCAAAGTGTGTCTTAGAAACTCACACAGAGGTGAGGAAGCCAGAGCGAAGACAAAAGCACAAGGTCTTCCCTTTCCTTCTCCTCTCCAGCCTCAGAGCAGCTTTCCTCTGTGGGCCTGGTTGGCACAGCCCTGGCTTTCATGGTTTCTTTTTCCTGTGGTCTGCTTGTCTATCACCAGTGTGGCTAATTCCTTGGATTAAACTTCTATTTTAAATACTTGCAGTAGGTCCTGTGTTTGAATGATACCCACATGTACTTTTAAACAATGCAAAGCCATGCATTCTAAGACTGTAAACAACACATGACAGGATTCAATTCTTAAACTACCTGCCTTGAAGGTGGGCTCTGTGTCAGATGTATAATTGAACAGGAGGAGAATCATGTGAATAGAAGACGCCAGAGCATTCACAGGCAGAAAGGTCATTTTGAAAGGAGAATTGTTCCCTTTCCTTAGAAGTTTTCTACAATGACTTAAGATACATTACTGTCCACCAAGTTCATCAATATTTAATTTTCTTTTAAAATTGCCCTGGGATTAGCATTACAAAGAAAACAGCCTTTTATTCCAAGGAAAAACATACCTCCATCATAAGACTGTTTTATCTGATAGCTCAGCAAGCAGAGTACAATGAGGAAAGGTTATTTGTATGAACAACAGATATCCTTTTTCAGAGTCTCTGCTCTTTGCCACTTCCACAAACTGAACCTCCTTTTATCAGCAGGCAGGCAGGGTACATAAAACTTTGCAACAGCAGGCGATGTTCCCTAATGTTTGGCTAATCTTTCCGTGTTCTCAAGAGAAGGCAATGGAAGAATTTTAATAGCAGGGGTTACGTGAATTTCACTGGTGATGACTTGGCCCAGCTCACACTTTGCAAAATGCCCTGGCACAGGGACCTAGAAGTGTACCAGCCTTTCTTTGCTGCTCAATTCAGAACTAATTTGTAGCTATCTCCTAAGTGCGAAGCTTTAATAGATAGGCTTTTAATAATTAATCCTTTCCTTAAAGTGCTTTGATTTTTCTGATTCATGTTCAGCTAAGTATAAATTTGGCGACCCAAAGCCTATTATACCAACACATAATGGCAATGCTAGAGGGATGCAGGCTCCCAGGCCTCCTGAGAATCAAGGAGAAGAGGTTAGGTAAGCAGCGGGCTCCGTAGAGAAGACTAGAGATGCATTTGGCCCACAATTAAAGGAGCACCGGTGCGGCTCACCAGCTCACCCTGCTTGTTGTTACCTACCTCTTCCTTTTGCTGTTGCCTCTGGCCCTTGACCTCGCTATCCATTTGTGCAGAGGCAGCTCTTCCAGGAAGCCTTTCTTCACTCCCTACTCAGTCTCAGGCATACGCTTTTGCCCACCTTCTGCTTCCCTTAGCTGCAGCCCCTGCAGAGCACAAACTATGTTTCTCTGTGTGTTCACAGCTTCTGTGGCTTCAGCAGAGTCGAGCTCAGCTGCTCAGTGGAGCAGATCTACTAATATCCAAAGTCGAGATCATGCCTTGAGCCAAACTGTGAAGGCAGGCACTCCCCAACCCTCTGTCCTGTGCTTCAAGCCTATTCCAGTCCACAAATAAACATTCATCTGATGTCTGCATGTCGCCTATGTGCCTACGCTGTTTGCATTGTTTCTTTCCTTTTTGGCGCCCTTCCTGAAAGAATTACGCAAGCCCCTGTCCTCTCTCCTCTCCTCCTCCCTCTTCCTCCTGTAGGGCACTGTACCTCCAGGAGGAAAAGCTCTGAATGCAGAAAGCTGGCTCTCCAGGATCCTGTTACTTATTCAGGGCATGCATACCTTTCCCTGCTTCCTGCAGACTTGCATTTTCTTGAGAAGGCAAAGCCAAATCCACTTTCCTTTCTTTCCTCTGCAGAGAGTAGTCTCGGAAACCTGAAAAAGCGGTTAGGGCTCAGTTGGACTTGCTCCATCCTTTATGGGAACTGAATCGATATAGAAGGTCCATCTGGGTTAGAAAAGGCTCCATCAGGAGCTCCTTCTGCAACTCAATTGCTTCGTTTCTAAATTTAGATCTATAGGATCAATGGACTAGTGTTTGGGGGAGGAAGCATAAGATAATGTACCCCAGAGTCCGAGCCCCAGGGGGGAATAATTATAGAAAACATTTTATTTCAGGTTATTATGAATTGAACACACTCCTCCATTCATATGTTCAAGTCCTAACTCCTAGTGCTTCAGACCCTGTGGTCCTATTTGGAGATAGAATAAGGGAATAATTTCAGTAGAGTTGTGACCTAACCTGATATCACTAGTATCTTTACTTATTTGTTTATTCATTTGGTTAGTCAGTTGCTTCTTCTTTTGCATTGGGGATTGAATTCAGGACATTTTGCACTGAGCCACATCCCCAGCACCTTCTCTATTTTTTCTCCCTAAATTGCTAAGTAGCCCAGGCTGTGCTCCAACTCTCAGTCCTCCTGCATCAGCTTCCAAGAGTGCTAGGATCATTACCGCACCTGAGTGCATCTGAGAGGATGAGTTTTCCCTGGAACCTCTGCAGGATCATTTCCAGGACTCCAGTGGACGCCCACATGCCTGGATGCTCGGCCCCTGGTATGAAATGGCATCACCATTGAACAGACCCTATCCACAGCTCCTGTGTCCCCTAAGTCATATCTAGATCAGCTGCTTTGCTAGGCTGCTTAGGACATCGTGATAAGGAAAACGTCCTTACATGCTCCTTTTTCCCCTGAAAATTTCAATCCAGGGATGGCTGAATCTGCAGATGCCAAGCCCATGCACCTGCGGTACCTCTCTTCTCCAGCCTGCTGCAGTCTTAGGAACCTTGACCTGGTCCTCACTCAGGTCTGTGCCGCTAGCACTTAGCCCAGCACCTGGCATGTAGTAGCTGCTCAGCCAGTGTGTGCTGGGTGAACGCACAGATCACATCAGTGGGTAATTACCAGTGCTTTGCAGTTTATGCAGCATTTTCAATGGCAAGTAGGAGGAGAAGAAGAGAAACAAAGATCATGCAATGTCAGAGCAGCTCTGCCCAGGGCTTCTGCCAACTCTGACTCGATTTTAAATGAGTTACTGCTCTCCAAGGACCTTCAGGGGAAATGCAGCTGTTAGGAGGTTTTGCTTTGGAACAAAGGAAGGCAAATTTCATGCATTGTGGTCCAGAGAGGGACAAGCTCCCCGCTGCTGCAATTTGATGGACCCTGTGAGCTCCACAGGCCAAGCAGGGTTCTAAATGTTTGCAGCTGCAAGGCTTAGGCTGCACAGTGGACAGATGCGGGCTTGGTGTTTGTCTGGGGGCCACAGGCCTCTTTCCTGAATAGGCATAACCTGTAGTGATTTCCGGTCTGCGCACTGAGTTCTAAAGCCCTGCCAGGACTTCTGGGGAAGCCGTGTGGACGTAGGGAGGGCGAAACAGTGAAAGAGCTGATTTCCTGGCAGCTTCCTGAGCAGGACTTCCATACCCAGAGCCCTGGTAAGGCTGATGAACCAGGCAAGAGCGTTTTGCCAGTCCTGCCTATCGTCCATCATATTCCAGCTCCTGAAATACACCCAGGTGGCTGCAGGTCCAAGTGTGACAGCCTGAAATGACACCCAGTCTCCCCTGTTCTGACTCTGGCATTGCTCCAGCGCGCCTCCCATCTGCCTGCTTCACTCCCGTTTCTGTTCTTCCTTCTTTGCAGCTTTCAGGACCTGCTTCTGGATGTCCCTCTGGCTCCAATGGTGTAGTTAACTCCTATATCAACAACTCTATTCTGGATCAACGACTTTTCTTCATGATAGCAGCCTCAGGGCTGGGGATGCAGCTCCGTGGTGGAGCACCTGCCATGGGTTCCTTTCCCAGCACAGACAACAAAGCTCTACACTCAGCAGCCAGGACTGTTCTCCTATCTCCCCCTGCCTTGCTCCCTTTGTCTGCTTCAACACACCCAAGGGTGCATCTGCCAGTCTTGACTGGTGGCTTCCTGTGTTGAAACCACAGGTAAGAGCTGCCCGAGCTGCGCTGAGCACAGAGCCCGTCTCCCTATATCAGCCCAACCCTGCCTCTGCCTGCCAGGAAGATGGGTCCACTCCCAGGGTGCTACCCTCCCCCCAGCATCGTCCTCGGCTCACAGCCTCGCTACCCAAACCTGGGTGTAAGTCACCTCCATGCATGTGAAATCTGGGGCTCCCTCTCTTTCTTTTTGGATAGCTGATGCAAATTTCCTGTGGGAAGGCTTCCCGAGTTTGGGTTCTTGACTTCACCCTCATCTTCTTTCATTGCTCTGCTCTGCCTTTTTTCACTTCCAATTTTAATAATTTTCAACTCCTTAGAATGGACAGAAGAAAATGAGTGAATAAGTTAAATAAAAGTATTAGATTTGCCCAAACAAGGACTATTGGTAATAATGAAGCATGTTCTCTGCTCTAGATGAGGTCTCTAAAACAAGAATTAATTCAGGGGTTTTCATGCTTTTGGAATGGATCAGGCAATGGAATATTTAAGTGAATCTGGAAACAGATCAGCATAGGTGAAGACTACCAGTGGTTTCCTCATCTAACTTATGCATTGTAGATACAGGAATATAAAACCCAGAAGGAGATACTCCAAAGTCATGCATCAAAGACAACGTCCCATATTCAGTAATCTGTTTATTGAGTACCTAATACTTAGCCAAAAGTGGTTGAGAGAATGAATTTTGGAGGTAGATAGCCCTGGATATAAATCTCTCTCTCTCTCTCTCTCTCTCTCTCTTTCTCTCTACCTATGGCCAAAATGATGGTTAAATTTCACCCTTGCTTTACTTTACTTGGAATTAAGAATTCATACTGCCTCTTATTTCTTCAAATGTAAAGAAATTTGGAGCAGATGCTATGATATTGTTAGTTCCCAATTCTGTAGTTTATACTATGATTCTAGATTACCCTGCCTTGCTCTTTTTCTTTTAGAATCCTTGTGTCCTGTGACAGTCTATCTCATGGCCACCTCAACCACATTTCTTCCCTTGAATCAGCTCATCCATTAAGATTACATTATTGGTCTTACGAGCATGATGTGAGGACAAGCCTTGATTCTATTTTAATAGGCATGCTACTCTCACGAAAATGAAAACATCCCATGCAATGGTACATACTCATTTGAATGGGAGGAAAAATATCCATGTAATATTAGCACTCTGGGAAGCTGAGGAAGGAGGAACACAAATTCAAGTTTAGCCTGGCCAGTTTAGTGATTTAGCAAGACCCTGTCTAAAAGTAAAAAATGAGAGCTGGTGATGTAGCTCAGTGAGTG